GTACTTCACTTGTGAGTCTGACAAGTTCGCCGCGCAGGTCGCCGATTGGGTCGCCGCCGGCGTGGCGGCCGAGTGGACGGGGCGGCTGGCAGTAATCGACTGCGACCTGGACGCCTGCCGCTTAGCCGACCCGCCGCAGGCGAAGCAACGCTACGTCGGCGTCCCCGGGATGAACGCGATCGCGCGGCGGCTGGCCGACGACGTCGCCGCCGCGGGCGGCCGAGTAACGACCGGTGTACGGGTCGCGCCACTCAAGCGGGGCGATGGCCGTTGGCGCCTAGCGGCGGAATCGGGCGAGCCGCTGGGCGACTTCGCCAAGGTCCTGGTGACCGCCCCGGCGCCCCAGGCGGCCGAGCTGCTGACCCCGTCACCCGCCCTGTCGAACGCCGCCAAAAGCGTGCGGATGTCGGGCTGTTGGGCGGCGATGGTCGCCTTCGACGGCCCGATTGCGACGGAGATCGATGGCGCGTTTGTGAACGGTCCGCCCGAGGCCACGGCGCTGAGCTGGTTCGCCCGGGAGGGGTCCAAACCGGCCCGTTCGGAGGGCGTCTCGGAAGGGCCCGTAGGAGGCTCTCAGTGGGTCCTGCATGGCTCGCCGGCGTGGACTGAGTTAAACAACGCCATCGCCCCTGAACGGGCCTTAGAAGGCCTCCTAGAGGCCTTCTGGAAGGCCCTGGGGCTCCGTCCCCAGCCGGTCGCCTACGCCGAGGCCCACCGTTGGCGTTTCGCCCTCCCGGAGAACCCGTTGGCCGCCCGAGCCATCTCCGATCAGGCCCTTGGCCTGTACGCCGCCGGCGACTGGTGCGGGGGTCCGCGGGTCGAAGGGGCCTACCTCAGCGGCCTAGCCGCCGCCGAGGCGATGCTATCGCGGGCGACGACTGCCTAGCGGCGCCGATTCGTGAGCGTCTGAGCCGTGGGCGCGGGAGATCGATTGGGAACTCGCCCTGGTGAAGCGGCGTCCCAGTAGCGTCGCCAATCAGCATTACCAACCGGGGGGACGCTGGAGAAACGAAAACCCCGGACAAGCCTGCTGGCCTGCCCGGGGCGAGTCGTATCAGAGGTGCCGTACTTGAGTGTGCGCCGTACTCCACTCTGCAGAACCGACGAGGGCTCATTGAGGAACAGTCAAAGCTGATTCCGCAAAGTGTTTCGCTTCTCCGGGGCATTGCACCCCGGAGCTGGGTCAGACGTGGACCGTTATCATAGTGGTCAACAAAGCGGGTTCCGGTCCGCGTCTGAACGCGAAGATAGTTGGCGGATGGCTGTCTGTCAGGCCTTTTGCACAAAAGTTAACAAAAAACCCTGTAGCCCTGGTGACACCGCTGGCGCGGATTCTAGAGGGACGAGGGGTTGAGGGACGGGGGACGAGGGGACGCGCGAGCGGCCTCCGGTCTTTCCCTCAGCCCCTCAATTCCTAATCCCTAGCCCCTCCCTCTTCAGTCCAACGGCTTCACCCAAATCTGGCGGAAGCGGACCACGCTCCCTGGGTCGTGGCCCTGAAGGGCGAACGTCCCCTTGTCGATCTTGCGGCCCGCCATGCGGCCTTCGCGCTCGACGCCTTCGGGCTCGGTGTAATCGACGGTCACCTTGCCGTTGACGCGCACCGTGATGTGCTTGCCTTTGACGGTGATGTGCTCGACGTACCAGTCGCCGTCCTCGACGGGTGACACGTCCATCACGTCAACGATGCCGTAGAGGCCGCCCGTCTTGCGCGGGTCGCCGTGCGACTGGTTGACCTGCACCTCGTAGCCCTTCATCGGCCAGTCGGTCTCTTGGTACTCGGTGTGGAAGTAGACGCCCGAGTTGGCTTGCGGCTCGGTCTGCACCTCGACCCACAGCTCGAAGTCCTTGAACTCTCCGTCGTTGACGTCGCCGGTGTAGAAGAGGTGCGAGCGATCGCCGTGCACGACGATCAGGCCATCCTCGACCTTGAAGGTGTCCTTGTTCTCGCTGGCGGTCCAGCCGGTGAGGTCCTTGCCGTTGAACAGCTTCGTCCAGCCGTTCGCTTCGGAGGGCGTGGTCGCGATCGGCAATTCATTGTCACCCGACGCTTCGACCGCCGTCGTGCTGTTGGGTGTCAGAGCGTTGTCGGGGACGAAGACGGCGGAGTCACCTGCCCCGTCCTGGGCTGTCGCCAACGAAGCACAGGCGAGCAGGGCGCAGCCAGCGAGAGTTCGGTACATCAGGGGTGCGTTCCTATCGGGGGAATAAAGTAATCCGCGAACGAAGAGCCTCGGACTCCCGAGGTTAATCGCCCGACAGTGTGAGAACCAGCCTGCGGCCGCCGGCATGGTTGCGGTGTTCACACAACGTGATCCCTTGCCAAGTCCCCAGCGCGAGTCGCCCATCACACACGGGGATCGACAGGCTGGCGCCCAGCAGCGACGCCTTCACGTGGGCCGGCATGTCGTCGGGCCCCTCGCAGGTGTGCGTGTGCGGGAACGACTCGGGCGCGAGGTGGTTGAACGCTTGTTCAAGGTCGTGTCGCACGTCCGGGTCGGCGTTCTCGTTGAGCGTCAGGCTCGCCGAGGTGTGCTGGATGAACACGTGCAGCAGGCCGACCTTCGTCTCACTGATCTGCGGCAACGCCTCGACGACACGCCGGGTGACGAGATGAAACCCCCGCGGCAGCGGCGGCAGGTCGAGCGT